CCCCCCCCCCCCCGCTTACCTACCACTCAGTAGCATGACGCAGCGCGGCGTTGTGAAGGTTCTTTGGCCTCTTTGGGGTCGATTTGATCGATTTCGAATGAACGGAACGTTTTTGGTTGAAGGTGTACCGGGAGGCCACTCTTTAAACACCTGCTGTTGTCACCGTTTTTTTTTTTGAAGACTTTCCAGGCGCATGCTCTTCCCTTGCCCTACCCTGTGTGTAAGGAGCAGGCAACTCCCTCTCATCTACAGGACATATTTGTCGTACGTAGCTTTGCAAAGCCATGATGCTTGCACCAGGGGTACAAGGAATGCCTGCCCACAGACGTTGGACATCCTCGCCCATGGACGTCCGTATTTATTTACCATGACGTTCACTTTCGTATCCACGCCTAATATTGGTTGCCAATTCGTCGAGAGGCTAGAAGCTCCGGTCCTGTATGCAGCAAGTCCGTGGCAGGCGGACGTTTGTTCTTCGGTAACACACATACACCACATAAATACTGCCGTTTTGTGTTGAAACATTCCATCTCATCCGTCTTGTGTATGGAAGGCGACCCGTCCCTCTGTACTCAATGGAGTTGTGCATACATTTACGATCCGTTGCCACGCTTGAAGACGGAACTCTCGCTGGGTACTTATATGCACACGTCTACCTTTTTTTTGTAACGCGATAGGGCGCCTTTCGCGGTGCACATGTTTATTTGTGCCACGTGGAAGGACGCGGCTTTCGCGGCACAACTTCCCTTCAATTGTGTCGCGATACGCATGTGTGGGTGCGCGATTTAGGTCTCTCTTCTTCGCCAACAATTATTTCGAACTTGAGAGATAAAAGTAGCACATGCCAGCCACACGGAGGCGTCAATGCATGTCGTATCGAGCCAAGCACATATTCCTAAGTGCCACACAACTTGAACGCAATTTGCTGCACGTTGTCTTGGCATATAGCAGCGGGATGCATAGGTATAGGTGCTTGCAGCTACGCACTGCAATATATCCCGGAAATTCTAACATCGACAGGACCGGGCTTGGAATATTAGCCTCGTGATTGAAACGAAACAACCACCTTCTAAGCAACAAGCACACATCTCCCCCCCCCCCC